TTAAGGACTAAAGGTTGTTTGTACCTGCAGAACAAGGTTCTAAAGGGACTCAAAATCATTAGCCCATCTTTCGAATATTATCGATTTCCCAATTACTCGAGGATTAATAATATTCTCAAGAGAACTTCTTTTGAGCGCAGCTTCGCGTGGCACTACTTCGAGATTACTCCCTCATAGTCCCGCACTACGTCCTAATAAAGGCCAAAGTTGGGTTAAGGTAACTACGGTCCTCAATATCATAGGCTCCAAGGTCGAAAATAGTGAGTGTCTTCACGATTACTCGTTCAACAGTACTACCTCGAGAGGGCCTCAATTGAGTGGGATTCTCGATTCAACTTAGTCGGGATTCAACTCCCTATAAGCCTCCTCGACTATATCATCATCCTATCTTAATTTCTCTCAAGTTCGGGTGTAGAACTTTATCTCACCACTCAAGAATAATACCCAAGAAGGACAAACATAAGAGAAAATAAACAGTTAAGCAAGTAAGCAGATATATAAAGCAGTAAACAAATAAAATAAGATAGGGAAACCCACTAGAGGGGTCCCCAGTGAAGTCACCATTTCTTCTTCACCAAGTGACATCTCCCCGAAAAAGTCGAAAAAGTTTAGTCTCTCTTTATTCGAGAAGACATACAGTTCAATTGGCTCACATCTCTTCTGAAGATCCCCGGTGAAGCTTTACAACTACATCTACAATTCACAATTACATCAACCACAATTACATCAACTACAATTACATCAACCACAATTACATCAACTACAATTACATCTACAGGGTTCTACAACGAATTACATCTACAGGGTTCTACAACGAACTACATCTACAGGGTTCTACAACGAACTACATCTACAGTTTACAACGACATCTACAATCTACAAAATTACAATCCCCTATGGAGATGCTCTCACGAGTTTTCATCATTTCGGGAAGAGACTGAGACCAGCTCATAGCATCCAGACTATGACGCTCGGGGAAGTTCTACAACAGAGACTGAGACCAGCTCATAGCATCCAGACTATGACGCTCGGGGAAGTTCTACAACAGAGACTGAGACCAACTCATGATTCCCATATCATGACGCTCGGGGAAGTTCTACAACTACAACAACATCTACAATGACATTTACATCTACATCGACAAACTAAAGTGATTCTACCGTCTACAAAATTTTGACATTTCAGGCAGAGATTGAGACCAGCTCATGGTACCCTTATCATGACGCCCGGGAAAGTTATACATTTTACTATCTCAAGTTGAGTTCCAAAAGAAAAAGATATACAGAAAAACAAGAAAAGAAAGAAAGAATACGAATAAAACTGAACCATCGACTCAATTCATTTGGACTATTACCAACCACAACATTATGGTGATAAGCATATCTTTCGACTACAAGCTTCTTTCCCTGGCGTATGAGATACTGTTATACTTCTGGAGATTCCCCAGTAGTGGTTGTTTCCTGTCCCCGTAGGGGTTACCTGCTGTCGTTCCTGTCCTTCTCGTGTGTCGTGTTTAGTTTCTCCCCTGTGGCAGCATTTCCCCACAAGACCTTTCATCTCGCATTCTTATATCATTGCATATCATTTGTATTCGGTGGCCTCTTAGGGCCAAAAATTTGTGCAATGTTTGTATTTAAGTCCCTCCTATCTCGTCGAGACGGAGATTTCAATCTCCATATCTCCGAATAAGAGTAAATTAAATAGGGGCATCTGTTGCACCCTAATTTTTGACCGTAAGATGCCGCCTCCTTTTGTGCATTTTCTATTGTTATTTGACTTTATTTAAATGACTAACCAATTTGTGCAGACGCGGTAATATCAAGTGGAGATAGCGTTCACTCTCGCGATCCATCATCCACACTACTAACTATCTTAACCGTTTTGTTTATTTTTGTGAGGTTAGGTCCATTACTGAAAGTTTAAGAATTTATGGAGACTTTATCTAAAAGCTCGCCTCATGTGTACCCCTTTTGAGATTCAAGTAGAGAAGTTGTTGTTCAAGATCATCAGTTGATTCAAGATCCTCGCTTGTGATATAAGTTTGTAGACTAATCCAATTACGAATGCAAAAAGCAAGTTCAAAGTTCCTACATCAGTTTGAGGGGGAATCTCAAACCTATTCATCATGCAAAAGGTTTAAATTGCGAAAGAAGTTTTTTTAAAGATTTGTGGTGATTGTTGTTCAAAGAGGTTCAAGAACTTTAAAGATGATAAATAGCTCAAATTTTACTTAAAGCTCGAGGTACATTAGTCCATATATTGCAAACATTCAAGAATGCCAAAATTACCATTTCAAGGCCAACCAAAGTTCCAAGCCTATATCTTATTTAAAGTTGGGGTGGCAAGCTCATACCAAGGAATTTATGTCTAAGCAAAGTTCAAATTCATAATTCTTCATGAATGAGAATTGAAGGATCATAATAGCTAAACCACCATATATTTCTTCACTTTTGAAAATACTCAAGTTCAGAAAATGGACTCCTGCATCCGAGAGTTTTTGCGACATAAAATGCCAATCTATCCATACAGGGGCTTATTTAGAAGAATACAAAGAGAGACAAATTTATGGTTGTTACAAAGTTCCTAAGCTTAATGACATAAACACTTCCAAAATCACTAAATAGTTCAGCACAATCCTAAGAGCTTCACCACCGTGAAATTCAAAGGGGCTGATTTCAAAAGCGAGTTACAACACAACCGTTTCTCCTACGCTTCCAACAACAACAGCTAGGCTACCAATAGGAACATCCAAATCTGTATCTGACGATGTGGACCTCTCTACCTTTGCATCCCAGGCAAAGTTTCTATTCTTGATTAAGATGGCTGGTAACCCTGGCTCAATAGGTGGATTTGGTAGAAGTGTCCTCTCTTCAGCTAAGAGCAACTCCTCCAGAAGTTTCAATGATACATCTGCATTAAGCACCATGATTTATAATGTTAGCATAAAGAAGGGGAATCGAAGAACAACAAACAGAGAAAGCAATGTGGAAGCTCTTGCAGAAGAGCACGTTTCCACCAAACAACATGAACAGAATAAAGAACAGAAGTAACCGAGTACCTCACCACCGTTGCTACCAGAACTCATGTTGAAGTTGGAGAACAGCTTCTTGACCAATTCCGTTCATCATGCCATCACCTTCTACTCTCATCCTATGGCACCCACTTCGGCTTCACAGTACCGGACAATGGCAGCTGTTACTTTGATCCAGCCGGAAATTCCTGCACAGCATCCATCGGATAGCATGAAGTAACAGATGAGATCCTCACAGCAGTTATAAGCAAGTCTGCATAAAAGAATCAATTTTGAAAATTTGGAAAGGAAATCTGTCCAAGGTTACATTATATTGAGAAGTTCACATTTTAAATTCCTGAAATGAGTAAAGATCTTCACAGCAGCAAGTCACAGTTATGGGAAACCTGTCGAGAATATCAGCAATGATTCAATTCACTTAAGGAGTGTTAAGGATTGGTTTAACTACCTGCATTATTGGATGTAGGAATCCTGAGCGAAACCAACACGAAATCTCTAGCACATACAGCCCACGCATTAATATACATCGCTTCTGATGATCTAAGATAGACAGAACCGGCACATAGATCTTCATTTATCAAGAATTCAACATAATTTTTTTAAGCCACTTTCCTTCGAAATAAGCCGTAAACGCGCTTCCGTAGAGATGGAAACTCGTTCAACTGTGTTTCGGTAACAACAAAAACAGTTCAAATCCACTTCACCTCTGTCTGCTTTTTGCGTCTTCAACCAAGGTGACTTCTCCTGAAGATGGTTTTTGGTAGCTTAAGAAGGAGTCCTTACTTCTGCTCCACTGCTCGCCTGATATCATTGTAGATTGGACCGCTCTTCATGATATGGTGTATCTTCATGACCATTCCATATCCTCGTCGTTCAAAGTTCTGCATAAAACAGGGAAACAATATCGCTAACAGCCATTAAGATAATAATTGAGTTTCAGTCGGAACTTATCACAGGAAATTAACAAGACAGTTGGTACAAGAATGATCATTCAAGTTAGGGATACCGTAACCAGATCAAAAGAGATTCCGCAAGTCGCAGCCAGCAGATCAGATATCGGCATTAACCCTCGACGCATCCCGTTTCTCTAAAGCAGCAGGTCACTCCCAAAGGTGAATTTACCAACTATATAACTGGAGGTTAGATACCTGTCAAAGTTAAAAACCTATTAGAACAGAGCACTGCAAGCACGTGTATTGCATAACAATGTAATAAAGCTGAAAACGTTCAAGTTACGGTGATGTGTCAATAGGAATAAGCTGGCAGGCTACGTTTACCTCGCCGGTTAAGCAGCAGAAGAGGATTTGTTTTGGAGTAAATTGGAGAAGATGAAGTATGTTTTAGTGACCGGTGGAGTTGTTAGCAAACTTGAGAAAGGAGATTACCATCAGCATTTTAGCGAGGGTTCAGCAATTAAGGAAAAGATTGTAGCAGTTACAATAATTACCAGGAGGCTCCTACTTGAAGAACTGGACTCTACCATGCAGTCCTTGCTAGTTAGCAACCAAGATCAAATAGATATTTATATAACATCATCAATTAAGCATGCATTTACAAGGACAAATCAAGTTGTTGAAAGAGTAGATATGTCCCATGAGCATCCCTTGGCATTGCTTGCATAAGAACTCAAGAAGCTGCTAAAAAAAGATTCATCAGTGCATGCCTGTTTTACAACAAGGACATCCTCGTTCTCCTGCGTAAACAAGTCACAAAGTAAGCAAGAGTTGTTAGAGGCTGCCATAAACAGGATTAAACCGTAACGTTAAAATTGTCAGGTGCTAGACGTGCAAAACAAGAAAATCTTTTGAAATCTAAGATGCAGATGGAAGTTGATTATCACGCTAATGTTATGTTGAACTCACCCAACAATGCTAGCTCTTTCAAAATACTGTGAGCTTGCAACAGAGTTGAATACGTTTAGGTTGAATGAACAAGGTCAATTCGCAGTTCCTTCCAACCATCTGCAACAATGGTTTTTGCGAAGTCTCAGAAGTCGAAGGTTTACTTCAGGAGATACCAAGTCAGGTTTAAGAGAAGGAGAGAGGGTAAGACTGATTACCATGCTCGGATTCGGTTGATCAATCAGGATAAGAATAAGTACAACATACCAAAGTACCAATTTGTTGTTCGATTCACCAACAAAGATATTGTTGCACGAATAGCATCTGCCAGTATTGCTGGTGATATTGTTCCTGCTGCTGCATATTCACGGGCTGCCACACTTCAGTCTTAAAGTAGGTCTTACTAATTATGCTGCAGCTTATTGTACTGGACTCCTCTTGGCCCGTCAGGTTCTTAAGACACTTGAGATGGGATGACGAGTATGAGAGGAATTTCGAGGCTACCAGAGAGGATCATTCCGTGGAGCCAGCAGATTCTAGGAGGCCATTCCGTGCTCTCCTTGATGTGGGTCTTGTTAAGACCACAACTGGAAACCGTGTCTTTGGGTGATCTGAAGGGAGCACTGGATGGTGGTTTGGATATTCCTCACAGTGACAAAAGGTTTGCTGGTTTTGATAAGGAAAAGAAGGAGCTTGATGCTGAAGTTCACCGCACATATATCTTTGGTGGACATGTTGCTGCCTATATGAAGACTTTGGAAGAAGATGAACTAGAGAAGTATCAGACTCGTTTTAGTGAGTATATTAAGAAAGGAGGGAAAGTTAATAACCAATTTTAACCCTGCAGATAATTAGGACCCAATTATCAGATGATTGTGGAAAACACTTCAAGACAAACCGTGTTCAAAATAAGGAATTAAAGGCACCTGTTTTCTGTTTCGAAATCAAATGACATCTCGAGAAAAACATCCGCCTCGCTTCAAATTTCAAATTCCCCAAGTCACATGGCTTAAGAGAAAAACATCTCGAGAGGATTTTATAGAAAACATGATGTCCAAATGCCCCACTATTTTCAAACTCTCGGAGAGATTCGCTGAATCTCGACGTAACTGCCCCTGATTGACGGTATAACTGAGTCTTCCAAATTGTGCTTTAGATGAAGCCAAACTCGTACGGATCAAACCTCTTGGAAGATCACTCACCCTCAGTGGGCCCTTCGACATAATCAAATCATATCAATAGCTAAACACACCGTATCTAACCAAAAAAAAACTATCACACAACAATCACAGAACTATCAAGAAAATCCTTTTTAAAATGAATATTTATTAAATCTAATTAATCCCGAGTTTTTTATTAAAATCAAATCAACACTTTTATTCAAACTAAAATCAATCTCTCGTAAACCAATTAAAATCAACCAACAGCGTAAATTCACATTCACGACACTTGCACCTACACTTAGCGCTTTCATGCGTGTGTATGGTTTATTTCTGTAATTTATCTTACAGTAATTTACATTACCGCAATTTATATTTTCGCATCGCATTCCGTCCAAAGGAAAAACCTACACATGATTCAACAATCGTGTGTAGTGCACATCATTTGCATCATTCTCCCCTATGATCCTTGATCCCATTCAAGTTGATCTTTAGGATAGATCCTACCCTATAGGAAGGACCGTTCCTCATCTTTACAACATAGGGAAACAATACAAACAACTCAAAACAATATTCAAACATTCAAAATTCAAACACATTAGAGAAAGATGCCAATCATCTTAAGTGAGATAGAGTCTCCACCCCACAACAATACAATCAAGCCGTAGGGACTTTGCCTTAAGAGAAATAAAGGCGTACTCGTCAAACAATCCGAGTACTTAAGCCCTTTTCTTAAGACGATTCAAAGACTATTTTCCTACACCTTGTGGCGGTTAAATCTCCCTTAAAATGAAGACACATCTCTTCTCCTAAAATCAATCAATCAACTACCCTAAACCCGTAGGAACTTTGACCACAGTCAAAGAACTCCTCTAACCCTTTAGAGGAACTACAAATACTCTGATTCCACTCCCGTAAGGATATGTAGGCATAAGATGCGATATCTTATCGAGTATACTTAGAAATAAACCCCTAGATCTTTAAACCATTAAGCAGATAAACACTTAGCAATAAACAATATAAAACAAGAGGTTCCTGTAGAGTACTACAGAAACTTAGGATGCTAGTACCTTCCCTAAGTTTAACCAACCCCCGAACCTATAACTCTCTAGCTTGCATTTGCATTGCATTGTGGGTATTTTGATCTTTATCCCTTCCTTTGGAAAAATCAAAGTTCGGTTGCAAATGAATTAGATTCAAGTTGATCAATAGCTTGGTATCAAAATTTCACCGCGACAATACTTCAGGAAACATTTTAGGGGTGTTAAGGTATCTCAGGCGAAATGCCAGGCAGTGCTGAGGATAACATAAAATGCCCATGACCTAACTGGGTTAAACCTATTTTCTGCACTAAGGCCCAAGGACAACCTACTGCATATAAATAACAGAACAACAATCCTAATTGAAGACAGTTCTTGACAGAAATTAGGGACTGGGTGTTTGTGTGAGTGAAGAATTATGTTTGTGTGTTTGTATCTTCACGTGTGTTTTGGTTTTAGGGTTTTGAGAGTCCTTTGTGTCTGACTTTGTAAGTCACCCTTTGTATCTTTGGATGCATTGTGGTAGACATGTTTAAGCTGTTAGCTGTTATTTATTAATGGTTAATTGTTCACTCAAAGCTTTTAAGCAAGAGTGTATTGTTCTTGATTGAAGCTGTTAAGAAAAATCAAGTATTGTGACTTTGAAGAGTGTATTCTAAAGTCTTCCTTTTGTATTGAATTATTTATCACTGCTGCGATTATGGGGAGTGAGAGGTGTCTCTTGTCTAGTGGATTCTAGGCAGAAATTGCATTGGGTAGGGATTAAGTGAGGGGTTGTAAACTGGGAGTTTAGCTCTAAATTAGTACTACTAATAGTGAATTTCCTTCCTGGCTTGATAGCCCCCAGATGTAGGTGATGTTGCACCGAACTGGGTTAACAATTCATTATGTTATTTATCTTTCAGTATTTACAATTCTGCACAATTTAAATGGTTAGATAAATAATTCTGTCAGTCTGCAGATGTTACAACAGATGTCATGACATTGTTAATTTTTAAAGGTATTTAAAATGGTCATGTTCTGTCCTTGTTCTGTTTTGACAGAAATCAATGTTCTTAGGACATCTGAGATCTGCATACCAGAATTTCAATTGGTACCAGAGCATGCATTCTGTCTGTTCTGGATGAGATCTTGGGACATACTTTCTGGTGTCTTGAACAAGGAGAAGTGGTAGCTGATTTGTTGACCTTGCTAAATGTTTGAGCTGCTGAATTCTTGAGAAGTTGTTGCTTATAAGGAAAATTTTATGTTTACTCCTGCTTGTGAAGGATTCTGTGTATCTACTGCTGCTCTAATTTTTGTTCTACGAACTGCTGAAAGCTGTAGTTGTGCTGTTTGTGTGCCTGAGTTGTTGCTTGTGTGCTTGGGCTGTTCTGTTGTGTTTTACAGGTTGTTGAAGGCTGTTTTAGAGAGGAAAGTGGGAGGTGATTTATTTTCACCACTCATGACTTGCAACAGTCCTATTGGCAGAGGAAGTCATAGGCAGGTTGAGTCAAGGGTGTCAGCCTTGTTGTTTCAACATTAGAGACACTTATACTAAAAGAATAATTTTGGTATTACTGAAGTGTAAATATCTATCAGATGGTGTTCTCAACAAGTTGTGTGGATTTAAGATCAGGTTCTATTTGTAGACTACACATATTGGTTATCCATGAAGTTCAGAGAAGGATTTATTATAAGGATTTAAGATTCATTGCTATTTGAGATATTCTCAAATATTTAATGGATTATCCTTAGTTGATGATCAAGTTGTCTCATCAGTATTAGGCCCCTGATTTGGTTGGTCTACTTCAAGGATCTGATGCTTAACCAGATGTTTAGACATTCCATCAACAATGATTGTGCAGAATTCTGTTGATTCAAGGAGTAAATCCCTAGCTCAAAGAAGATATAGTTGGATATGTCTTTATTCTAGTAAGGTTCTTGGCAAGAAACTAAGGCTAGAATGTAGTGCTGATGGAAGTGAAGAGGAAGACATTTTTCTTAGATCTGTTTATTTATAATCTAGGAGTATTGGAGTGCAGCATGTGTGTTCTAGTTTCTACTAAAAGCATCTGATCTTTATCTAGAAAGTTTCATGGCAAGAAACTTGTCCAGAAGATGGTGTTGGTGATAGCATTGCTTGGGTCAGTTTATTTCTGATCTAAGTGCATAGGAGCATGTGACCTTGCTCATCTTGGAGAAGGTTATTCTAAGTGGCAGAATGAAAGCCTAAACTCTCCAGCAGGATGTCTTATCAGAGGTTGTGACATCAAGCAGAAACTTCAGGGCCTTAATTGATGTTGTGGCATATCATTTGAATATAAGTTGATCTTCTCAGGTATGAATGGAATTAATGCTTCATCTCATGCAGTTTGCGGGAGCTGCATGAAGGAGCAGATGCCTTGCTATGGAGCAAGTAGAACATGTAACTTGAAGATCAAGTTTACTTGGTGGATTAGTAGATTTTCTAGAGCTCTGAAAGAAGCTGAATTAACCAAACAGTGATAGTTGGTTATTTAAGAAGTGTGCTTGAAGAAAATTACTCTTGTGTAGAAGGGTAGTTGTGGTTGAAGCCCTAAGTTACTTATGGAAGATTACCTTCTTTTGGAGATGTATGATAGTTTATTTCACAATTTAGTTCTTATTGATCAAGCTGGTGGAGCTATGTTCTCTGAAGATCTTCATATTGGTTTATTGTAAGTCCAACTGATTATTGTATCAAGAACCATAATGTATGATGTCTGTGATATAATATCCTAAATAATGTCATAACATCATTTTTGTATGCTGGACATGAAGTTCTTTTGTAGAACTTGTGATTCACATCTTGACTAATAAGTACTCTATCTTGTCATACGGGAGAATAATGAGGTAAAAGGACTGTCTTGGAGTATGATGTGAAGGTATTGTACAAGACTAGAATGGATCATTGGTTGATTGCATGAAAGTATGGATTATGATGTGTTATATGGAAGTGAATATTCACCAGTTAAACTAGAAGTGTTCTAACTTATCATATGGGAGAATGATAAGGAAAGAATGTCTTGGATTATGAGGTGTCTATCTTGTTCTCTGACTCAGGCCAAAAGTCTTGTGGAGAAGTGGTAACTCTAGAAAGAACTGGAGCAGTTGGGTACCTTCTCACTGTATGAGCATGAGGTTGGTCTTGAGATATAATGTGGTGATCTTGGAGCATCTTTTATAAAATAT